GAGGACGTACACCAAGAGAAACGCATAACGCATTCGGTTGCACTGATACACCTTTGTGGCAGCATCACAGTTTCTGTTTTGATTGTGCCGATGAACTCACGTGATTTATGATGATGTTTGAACCAAGGTATCATTTGGCTGTCTTCCACAAATCTTAGATTGGAACCGGTGGACTGATAGACGGGCCCCATGGCAAAACGCCAAATATTTAATAGTGACAAGCGTTAAATAAGCCTAAATTTATCCTAGATAGCAAATGACCTCAGGTTTATCCAGCGGGAGAGAGACAACATCGTGAATAAGTAAATTTAAGTCCTCCAGTACTCACTCTCCTTAAGGTTTTAGACATTATAGTACGTGACAGTGGCATTGATCTGATTGCGAAATAGGACAATCACACGCGCGCACACACAGAGATAGAGAAAAACGTGAATTCCACCCATTCAAATACCTGAATCAATCATAAGAAGGTTAACAGTACCGTGTGGCGGAAGATTTAGAAATCGAGGTTTGAAGCTCAGTCAAACAAAATCCTCTGTCTGATTGGTGCAAATTTAAACGATCTCATTGTGTTGCAGATAGAATACTCGTAGATACCAGTCCTGGCTTTAGCAAAATGCAGAAACACACACTGGAATGCCTTGACGGAAACTCAATTTCAATGAAGACCTTTCAATGAATTCGTCCCTTTCTTCCGTTTGCTTACTTTCCAGTCAAGCTTGTCACATGCCTTTAATGATATCGGATTGCCTCATTAGCATCACCGTCATACACTTTTATTTGTATTTATTGTAATGCAGATAAACTGGCTGGTTGTTGAGTCACAGGTGAGCATGAGTACTTAAATGCAACACTCTTGTCTGAAATCATTATATAATGTCTCATAGCGTTAGACATGATTTCTGTGATACTGGAAATGCAAACACTGGCGTCTTAATATACCAAACTCTTTCAATCGTGACACCTGTACCACAGATTGAACTCCACATCTTGGCTATGTGCGAAATAACGCAAAAGCTGAAATAAAATGTATGAAACAAACGAAGAGAAAAGTATTCACTGTTTTTTTTAATTAAAGAAACGAATCCCAGTTAATATATACAAGCGACTTCCGCTCAAAATTATCTATGCCCCAAATTTCTACATTTTACATTATTAACCAAAAGAATAACTTATTTTGAATAGAGTTGGAACACGCAAAGGGTGAAAGGGATGAATAAATGTTCTATGATCAAGTTAATGCATATATCTCAGTGATGCACGGGAAAAAATTAACCCCGATATTCCTGTGTGCAAACATGCGTCCCAGGGGGAAACGGCTTTTTGAACCAAAAAATATAGTCGTTTGGCCAATCCCCTGCCCCCTCAGTGTTTGTAGCTCATAGTTGTAGGTGTAAGGACTGAAGCGAAGAATGCTTTTCTTTGAAAACTATCATAAAATTGGGCGTGGAACACATCTTTGAACATAATATAATAACCGTACTGTATCGTTTACGAGGTAAAATACACGAAAACTAGTCCTTCTATACTGTACAACTTTCATCCATTAGGAGTGAGATAAGGCGATCTAATGTGTCCCCGTTAAGCGGCAACTCACCTCGCATCATAAAGGGATAAATGGAAATCACATAGTTTGCCAGAATCAGACCGAAGTATAACCAGAACTTCATAGTTGTTCCGTGTGCAATGTACAGAGACTGGAACGTAGCCGATCTGTTTTTTTTATAGCAAGCTCAGGTCAGCCACTGCTCACACCAAGCGATGACGCGGGGAGACTCACAAATAAAACAAAACGGGTAAATGTAGGTGTGGCGAAGAAAGATTGGGCGGGTGGGTGAACATGTTGGGAATGATGAACTAAATCTTGAGTACACTTTTCATCCTCGGTGAACTGTATGATAAGCATGCAAATGTTACACTACTAACCACTTACTTTGTCCTCAAGTTCTCACGGTGGCTGTCCTCGTTTGTTCTCAGTTTACAAACAATCTGACGTGGTTTGCTGTGGTCTTTTCGTAGTTGAGAGGTGAGAAAATGTCTCTATGTTTTTCGTTCATCAATAGATTCTGCTGGACGGTTGTGGTTGTCGGTAGAAACAAGCAAACCTTGGGTTTGTTTCAACAACGTGACTGTATTTTAACAGTTCTGAATAATAGGCAAAGAACTGTAAAACTTTTTCTGATCTGCCGTCGTTCAAGTTGAAAAGTAGAAAGTCTGAAAACACCATTATGCACACACACGAGATCCAAGGATGGCAGGAATCTCATTGAAACACTTGGGCGTTGTGCTCATGATTATTGAGGAAATTAGCGTGTCTTAGCCATGATGAACGAAAAAACTAAAACACAAGGCGTTGGTGATCACTTTGCGACGTTCTTGGAAGGTCTTTCTCAAATCGTTTAATGCCAAATGACCGATTCACACGTTTTGAACTAAAGGTCAAACCAATTTCGTTCGTCCCAACCACCTGTCGAACGATCACCAACACAGACACACACGTATGTTCGAATCACATCCGAGTTCTATACACTGTCGTCATCCCATCGTCCTATAATTGCTAGTAACGTGAAATTAACCAATGAAACGATTTGGGAAAGGCTTTCCAAGAGGGACGAAGCGTTGTCACCAACGCCGCGTTTTTTGTTTTTTTCGTCCGTCGTGGCTAAGTCAAGCTAATTTCCACAATAACCATTGTGTACACACTTTGTGAACAGCATTAATGATCAAACTAATTATGTTGCAGGTGCCGTTTGAACTGTTGTAATTCGGTTTTCATTTTATTTTCATTGTTTCCTATCCGCTACAAATCTGGCGAAAGCCAGCACAAGTGGGATGTGAAACGTACAAAAATATGAGTTAGTTACTAAATACATTAGAAAGCTCAGAACGAACGCTTTCCTTGTCGGTCAGTACCAGAGTTTCTGTATAGAAATATGCGAGACGGGATAAGTTTGTACTTGGAACGGGTGGAGGGGTGGGATTTGCACGCAAACAAGTCAACGTGTAGAGGATGGGTGCAATCAGATACGATATTGTCAGCCAACTTCAAGCACGCATCAATATGGGCATTATACATATTACCAATCAGAACAGATAACGGAACTTGGAAGACACGGCTAATCATTGAGAGGCCACACCTCAGCGACTTGAAATCAGCCTTCAACAAGCCAGGGAAAATTACAGGAGAGCAGTACAGGGGTATAAGGAGGACACATTGTTGAACGAAAGCGTCCATCACGGACGAGTCAGAAAAGAAGTGGCGCAGTCTTCTTAGCTGAAAAGAGAGACATTTCAACTTACCAGCACTACTTTGGGTATGTAAGGACCAGCGAAGGTTATTTTCAAGTGTAACACCTAAGTGCTTCACATGGCTGGCCCTGCTCATGGGCTTACCATGAATCTGGACATTGTCGGAGGGAGATGGGGAACAGTTTAGAGTAAAAATACAATTAAGGCATTTTTCAGGATTAAGATTAAGACCCAAAGAAGTGGAATATGAAACGAGGTGGGATAGGCTTGTATTATATTCATCCAGTTCTATTTGGTTAGATACGGAAATAGAAATGGCGATATCATCAGCATACCTAAAATGTCGAACAGGGAGTGTAACGGTAAATCACTGATATAAGTCGAAAAAGGTAGGGTGATAGAACAGCATCTTGAAGTACACCAGAGCCATTGAGTGATGCGTTTGACTGTCTTCTTTCCGATTTAACATACTGATATCTTTGTGAAAGGTAAGCAACAAGCAGTTCAAGAGGAGCAACGGAACAGTGAAAAGATTGGAGGTTGTTTAGTAAACGAGAACGCGGCAGAGTCGAAAACGGAAGAGTAGTTCAGAAACGCACAATGCACATATTTGGCTTGCTCGTTAAGAGACTTACAGATGACATCAACTACAGAAGAAATGGCATCTCATGTAGAGCGGTTATGTTTATATGCAAACTGATAGGTTTCATCAAGGGTGGTAAGGAATGACTGAAAACGGTGCCCAACTGATCGCTCCATCAATTTCAAACCAGTCGAAGTGAGAGCAACTGGTCTGAAACGCTTCGCTATTGGGGTCTTAGACATTCCTTTGGGGATGAGAGTAATTCTTACTGGGCGCCAGCAGTCCGGAGTAGTTCGAAGTTCGAAAGAAAGATAAGCTAGGTGTGCAAAAATCTGAGACAGTGGCAGAGAACCGTGTTTAAGAAGGGTCGGACTTAAGTTGTCTGGACCAGGTGCGGTCGACACCTTGAAAGAACATGTGTTTATTCATCTCACTAAGGGTGATGGGATCAAACGAAGGTTGACTGTTTGGAGAACTGGAATCATACCTGGGGTGTGTCGGACTAGGGATGAATAAATGCAGCATTCAGTTTTTCAACATCAATAGAGAGACTGGAAATCAATTTTTTCTGCCTGCAGAGTAGGTCGATTCCATGCCACGTAGATTGTGCGGTCAATATATTAGCGCTTGTGTCCTCATCAACAACTGTCCGTTTTCAACATACGGTTTGAAAGATTAGCCCGTTGAATATAGTACCATTGTTTTGGGCTTCGTTTGGAAAACAGAATCTAATAAAACCCATCAAATAGAACCTGTCCGTTCCAGACATTTTTTTTAACATCTATTCTGAACACATCAAAAGCAAGCAATATCAAACAGTTGACCGAGCTAATTCTATCCCGTAAAAGGGAGAGTAGAACAAGTCTGTTCACGAATGAGAATGAATCGCTGTATTTGTTTGTCATTCAATGAGACAAAAAGGTTAGAAAAGACAGGGACAGAGAGAGAAGAAAATCCTGAAGTTAGTTGAAAACCGGAATAAGACAATTCTGTCTGAATTTATCGGACATTTTTTCAACTGAAACGGTACACTGAAGTTGGCGCAATTCCCATCCCGACACGGCCATGAACAGTGGTTCAACCACATCGTGAGAAATCCGGATGATATGTAAGAATGCTGAGGAGAATAAAGCGCCAGCTTGAAAGTAATGAGTTAAATCAGAAAAACTCAACCGTAACTGCGCGTCAATGAAACGGGAGAATGTTTTCCTAAGAGCGCATCTGGCTGATAATATCCGGCCATATTGGCCTGATTGAGCGAGTCGCTTTGTAATGCATCCACATCCCCGTCGATGCTCAGATTATTGGGTGAACCGAAATCCTCTTCAGGTGAATAAGCCTCTGGAATGTCATTCTTGTTTGCCGGCATTCCGTGTTCTGAAAATGGACAGCAATGAGATGCATGGATGTCGGACAATCAATATAGATGTAATCTGGATGAGAAAATATTTCTAGCCATGATGTACGATTCGTAACCTGTCGCATACAGTTCTTACTCAGTTATTGAGAAAAAGATGAACTGTGCCAGACAAACACCCACGGATGGACCGATATGATTAGCATAGTGGGATATGATTTTCGTCTTGAAATAATTCAAAAAAGAACATTCTTGTAAAATAAAGGGGATGGTAAAGTAATTCTCTTCTGATGATTAATGCCTGCAGAATATTTCTCTGGCCTAGATGATAGACATGATTGCAATTATCAGATTTCACCTAGACAATGTGTGATAAAAAAAGTCACGGTAAAAGAATCTGGATAACAAATTAGTTAATCTACGATTTCTTTCAGCTTGCGATACCACGGCGGTTCCCAAATAAAAGCAGGCTATTTATTTGGTGATGTACAATAAGAGAGTTCCATTAGTGAAAGCCTGATTCGCAAGGTAGTATCATGGTCTGAGTGAGCTATAGTATATTACTATCGGTTTCTGGTCAATCCGAAACTCTTATTCTTGAATATGCTTCTCCACTGAGCCATACCATATACTGGGGCATCATTTGGATTAGCATCTGAAGCTTACAGATACGGAGCTAAGAATGGATAACTTACTATACTTTGCCTTCACAAACTAATTAGGGAATAAATATACAAATGTACAATTAACTTTTAGGGAACGGGTCGCAGCCATACAAAGGGTCCATGAGAAAACACAGAAATGCGAAAGACAAGAGGCGATGCAGCGGTTTGAACCCAGGACCTCGGGTTACGAAATGGCGGCCACCACCGCCCGAACGCAGAGGATGCTCTGGTGGTTGTGCCATAGTACTACGGTAATAATGACTGCTTTTGGAAATACTACAATAAAATACCAAGTCAAAGTCAAAGTTTCATTATGGGAATAGCTTACAAGCTCGTGCTTCTCTTGTCCCCATAGGATATTTACACAGATGAATCGTTACACGTCGAAAAAGGAATCACACAGAGTTCCGGGTAAGAGATAATAGAGAATGTAGGCTACAGTGAATTTGCTTTTGCTTTTAGTGGTGTACGAATGTGAGGTTTGCTAAGGTTTCATCGAGTCTCTGCTTGAAAGATTCAATAGTAGATGCACAAACGACATGAGATAGAAGGGTGTTACAAGAACTGCATTCTCTGACAGTAAAACACTGGCGCCGGCATTCCAGCCAACAATTTGGAATCAGTAGTTTGAAACGGTTTCCCTTTAGGTGTACATTGTTCGATAACATGAGCAGCGATCGACACGGATGGTTTGGGTTCTACAGTATTTGATACGTCAAAATCAAGTCCCTCCGAGTTCGGCGGTACTGAGAAGAATATAACCCGATGATCGTAATCTCTCCTCATATTTCAGGTAATGCAAGCCCTTGACCATCTTGGTGGCCATCCTTTGTGAAAGCTCAAGTATCTTGTGATCACGTTGAAGCCATGGACTTCAAGCTTAGATGGCGTACTCTGTGTAGAGTCGAATGTACGCTGATATCAAACGTGGGAATAGTGATGATTAAAACCGGTCAGAGACTCGCCGAAGTAAGCCAACATTCTTCACAGCAGCGGACAAAGCCTTGGCACAATTGATGGAGCAGCTTAAATCCTCTTGAACAACAATACCTAAATCCTTTTCACTAGAAGTGTGTGGTAGCTGCTGATCCTCGAGGAAATACGAGAATTTTCGCTTGTGGCGTAGGGATAGGACTTTGCATTTAGAAAAATTCACTGTCGTTCTCCTTAGACCATTGATATGCTGCGAAACATTTACAAAACATTTACACCTTCGACCAATTTTTGGATAAGCCAATACAGTCACATCCAGTTACGTTAATTGAAACAAAAAAAACAACAACATCAAGAACAACAACAAAAACTTGTCGTTCGTTAAGACTGCTAAATACGATTGGTGTATTTGAATAAAACATCTAGCAAGCGAGACGGTAAACCTAGAACCCATGCACAAAAACCCTCCTCATCGTAACAACAAAGTAAACGTTTCTGCATCACGTGGAACTCACGACCCAAATTTTGAAAGTCGGCCAATAGCATTTGGATGCCTTCTTGAGCCTCAGTCAGTTCACCTTCCTCAAGACCTTCTTGTAGATACCAATGAACGAACGCACGTTTTCGACTCAATTGAGTTACTTTATGCGTTACCGCGCGGATCGGAGTGACAATCAGTGTGGAATTGTACAGACCCACAACCGATCTATTCGCCTGCCCCAGACCACTTTGAGGCACATATGTAGGTGGTTGTAAACACAATCCGATCTGTTTTGAGAAGGTAACAGAAAAATTTTAAGCATATATTGTGGAGAATCGTCCTGATTTGACGAGAACGAATTGGAACCTGTAGACTTTAAATTATTACCGTGAGCTGGAAGATTAATTTAAAATAAATGATTGAAGAAGTCGTGATATAGTGGTAGGGACAGAGCAGCCAAAAT